GGGGGGGGGGGGGGGGGGGGGGGGGGGGGGGGGGGGGGGGGGGGGGGGGGGGTAGCCCCCCTCATCCGCCGTGCTTGCATAAATGTAACCTTGCAAGTCGGGAAGAATTGAAAAAGAAAAGAACGAGGTTTTCAGAAATAATTGGTGCGAAAGAAGTGATCCGAGTGCATCGCAACGACAGCGCCGCACGAGTAGGGCGAGAGAGACCAAGCAAGAAACGCGAAAACAAATATCATAAATAGCGTCTCGGAAGGAATGACCTTCCACAAACTGACGCACAGCAAGCAGTACACCGGCACACAGGCTCCAATCCTGACGTCCAGACCCGAGTCTTACATTTCTTCAGCTGCGCGTAGTGTGGGCGGAGAAACTTGAGCGGCTTGGGCACGCTGGTCATGCTCGTCGTCGCCGAGCGGATCTCCGACGAGAGGTGCCTCAGGGCGTTGCGGACTGCTCGCATGCACAATCACGCGACACCGTCGATCCGTGCCCCCATTTTGCATGGCGTCACAATTTACAAAGAGAAGCAAGAAGGGAAGCGGCAACGATCGGCACAGCGCAGCAGCAGTTAAAGCAACCCCGGTGGGGAGGGTGGGGCGGGGCGCGCGCGGTGAGAAGGGTGCCCGTGCGGATAGCACTCGCGGATGGAACGATCAGAGCACCAACGAGTGGATCTGACGAGCGTTTTGTGCTGCTTGGAGAGCACATCGAATCCGGGAGGGCAACCAGCGTGCTCCCTGTGTCAACGGCACCTGCTGTATCAGGACAACACTATGGACAGGTATCGTGGATGGCGGAACATGCCGCAACTGTTCCTGCAAGGCATGCTCTCCCTAACAGTCCGTCTTGAAACAGAGCAGGGGGGGCACCCCGAGACCAAGCAAACAAATATCGAAATGAAGCCGGCTAGCGGAGATCGATCCAAAGTCAACACTACAAGGTGCACTGCCGTTTGCCTCCACTTTCTGTGGGCGAGACATCGAGAAACCAACGTGATTGTGTGCGATACAGTACGTATGCATATCATCTGGTGTTCCGGACGGCACTAGCCTGCCAATCCTATCGAGGGCAACACGAGCAATAACAAAGGTCGCTGTTGCGTGCTCAACACTACTGCTCTGTAAGAAAATCTCCGCACTCGAAACGTCCCACCGTCAACTGCTGCAGCCATCGACTTCTCACCTATCCCGGGTTCTTTGTCGCCAACCCGCATGACCGCTAGCTCCAGGCCATCCTTCAGGGCCTTGTCCTCCTCGCTGAGCTCCTCGGGCTCCAGGACGCCCTTGCTTCCTCCCTTCGCCGTCTTCTTTGTCTTCTTCCCGCCGTCACCGCTAACGCCATCCAAGGTGGTGGTTACCCCCCCCTCCTTCTTCTTGTCGCCGCCGTCCTTGTCGTCGCCGTCCTTCTTCTTGGGGTCCTTGGAGGGCACCATGATGGACACCGCTTTCTTGTCCACCATGTTCGCTTGCTTGTTGGTTTCCTGGTGTCGTTCCGGGGGCCCACTTGTAGTCAGTCCTGTCTACCGCTGCGGCGAGAATTGGCGGTTGATTGCTATAATATTGCTCGGCTCCCCTGCCTGTGAGTGCGTCTTGTCCGCTGCTCTACTAGTCTTCTTTGGCGTAACTGCTGGTGCAGATAACACAGAGTGATCACGTGCGGAGGGGAGGGGGGCGTCGACTCGACATCCCTCGGGCAAACAACGACAGCAGTTGGTACGAGAAGGACGCTTGGGGGGGCGCCCGCTAAAAGGGAGATTTGGCGTCCATCATTTAGGCCCAAAATACGCTACACGTGTGCGCCTTTCACAAACGTAACCCAAGGTGCACCCAGTAGAACCATCGTGCTCCTACTTGCACCGGGGGGTTTATGCCGGCGATTGCCTCATCGTGGTGCAAGGCAGAAAAGCTACAACACAAAGCTCTTTTGGAGATCCAGATGCGGCGTATCCCAACCCTGCGTAGTGAAGCGTCTCTAAACACACAACGAGCAACCGACTTTCAACCAATCTCAAAGCAGTGAGATTCCACCAGCGTTGCACAAGATGCATTGCCAAAAAGAAGTGGCAGGTCGCTCGGGGAAGCCGGCCGAAGTGCCGAAGCCTACACACACTGGATGAGAAGACTCGATTGCGAGGTTGCAGATTTTTTATCGAGAAGTGGGCGCAAAGATGCCCCACACAGCAGTGCCGGATAGAACAAGGCGAACGAGCTTTCGGCGTGCTGCACGCGCGGGAGATACAAACCAGAGCAAACGCGCCTTCTCACCGGACCAACGCAATCCACAATAACATGCAATTGTTCAACAATCAACCACGCAGTGCACGACAGCAGTGGTGTGGGTACGGATGAGGTTGTTGTGCGCGCAACCTTCGGCTGCCAGAGGGAACACAAAAAACTCTCGAGGATCTCGTTGGATGCCATCGCTTCACGAAAGCCAAGCGTTCCTTCGTTGCACCAGGTGAGGACACTGAACGAAAGTATCAGCACCATCGCACGCCGTCCTCACCTGTTGAGGTCGCCTAGCTGCTGCCGTTGTGTGCAGCGCTCGGTTTTGCTGATGGTGAAATGTGTCTGCCGAATTCTCGATCCCTATCACGGAGCCCCCATCACCCCGTCCCCCTGGTCACTCCATAAAAATGATAAATGATGGGGTGGGGTGAAGGTGCACAGCAACAGGATACACGCCTCCCCTTGTGTGAGATCCACCAAGACACCAAGGCACCCAGCACTACTGCTGAGACGATATAATCATCACCACCGTCGCCATTGCATGAGTGATTACCACAGTGGTGATGGGGCCGTGGGGAGCTCGTCCAATCGTGGGAAGCAACCCGGCTTCCAACCAGGAGTGAAACGCAGCAGCAGCGGCGGAATCTCCAAGCAACCGCCGTGGCCACTTTCCGATGTTGACGCCAACAGCAGTAGCAGCAGTGGTAGCAGCGCACGCCGCAGCCGGGTGTACGACAGCATCATGGCCCAATGGAAGCAGGCCGCCTCTTCGGTGGTGCCAGCACCTAGGTCGTCCCACCGCCGTGTCTTGGGAGGTCAAGCGTTGCCAACACGCCAGGTGGGCATCGCTCTCAACAGCAGTGTCACACAATCGGAAACGAATCAGACATGTATCTCCGTGTGATGGTCTCCAGCGTACGCCACCCCTTGTATCATGTGTCAAGCAGCAGAAGGAGACGGGCCAAAGGCAGGAAATACGAAGTAGTACTCGACCTGCCAATGACCACGACAGGATCATTGACGCCTCTCCCGGTAGAAGAACGATGGACGAATAACGAGCACTTTGTATGTCCTTGTGCACCACTCTAGAGACAAGTGTCTGTGCAGTACACACCGGAAACGTTTTGCGTTACTCACACCAGGTGGCCCATGTTGTGTCCAAAGTCAATAATCCAAGTTGGATTTTGATTTTCGATTTCGGGTTGGCTCTACACAGCTACACAGCGCAAGCGGGGAATCGAAATCAAAATCAATCCGGGAAGAGGCGAACAAGGCCTGTCCTCCAGAGTATAGACTATGCCAGTACATGCTAGTTGCGATGATTCAAACCATGACCAGGAGGGTCATACGGTACCCCAGACCGCGAACGATAGCTCCGAACATCAGCCCATGATCAGGCGGGTTGGGGGGTCTTGGTCTCGCATCGATAGGCTGCGAACTCAGCGAGAAATATGTGATTGAATGGCTGCGTGCTGATGTGGGTAAGCCCTCACAGCTGCCGTTGGCCTGCGTTGACAAAGAAATAGTTTCATGAAGATTTCTCTCTCTCTCTCTCTTGGAGCAGATCTCGCTCAAACAAAGTAAATCGTGCTCTGCTGGATGTCAGCTTTCTGCCAAGCTATTGCTTGCATCGCCAAGCAGTCTGTAGGTGGCTAGACGAGTACCGAAATGAAGGTGTGTACGATTCTTTTCTGGGTGTGGGAAGTGCGGCAAGCCAGCTGGATGTTTTTCTTCGCACTTTTGATTTTGATTTTGGAGGCTGTTCGTGCTCGTTTTTGATTTCACAATACTGTACATGTATCGATAAAATATTGGAACACAAACCCTCCCGTCCAAGATCCGGCGGCGGAACACTGGCGCGTTGTCCAATCAGTGACGTTTTTTTTTTTTTGTGAATATGACCCAACGAATCCATCTCTAAGAAAAGAGAAGTTCAAGTTGAGTAGATTTTTTATTTTGGACGGAAAAGTAGTCTGACAAGGGCGCCACCCTCCTCATGCCAACTCTGATGGGAATGTCTGCACGTTGAATCAGGTGGAAATTGCCTGAAGTATTTTACAAGTGTGTTTCGTAAAGTACACTCAAGTGTGTTTCGTAAAGTACACTCATTCTCAAGTGTTTTTTGAGTAAATGCTCAACCTTGAGTATTGCCCTTGAGTAAGTATTTCAAGAATACTCATGTGTACTCGACAGTTTGATTGAGCAAGTACTCATCAATACTCAGGAGGTTGAGCAAGTATTTCAAGAACATTCATGGATATCCGGAGGTTGAGTAAGTATTTCAACGCTACAGCAGTGCTCGTGCGTACTAATTTACTCGATTACATCCTTGAGTTTATCCTTGAGTAAGAATTTCAAAGGTTTCACTCAACTTTTGCTGAAGCCTTTGAATAAGTATTTCGAAAACACTTTTACGTACTCGAGTTTTTAATAATATTAACACCGCTTTTTATGGAAGCACAATGCTGCAAAAACGCTGCATTTCTGCAACTTTTCTTGCAGCATTGCTGATGTACGCTCAGTATGGGAGCTAAAAGTTGCACGAAAAGTTCTGCAACTTTTTTTTCGAAGCTAAAAGCTGCGATCTGGCCGAAAAGTTTTGCAGCTTTTCTCGAGTCGGGAAGGGGCGAGAAAAGCTGCACGGTGGAAACTATGCCGGTTCGCGTCACGCTGCTACCCCTACCGCACACGTAGACCATCTCCAGCATCGATTGTGGGAAGGCTGTGATCACCGATATCTCGACGAATACTTAACGAGTTGCCTCATGAATGGTATCGAGAAGGAGGTGATGCCATGGGCTGTTAGGCAATGCCAAGGTTTGGGGCCGTGAGGTGCCGAATGCGCCGGGAAAAAGTTTGTGCTGTGCACAACCGTCAACGGCCGCGAGCGGTTGGTTCAAACTCGATGTTTTTGACCACCAAGGGTTTGGTTATCCACCTATAACTTGTCGAAGGAGGAAGCATCAGCAATAGCAAGGCCGCTCGGTGGAAGGTAGCTTTCTGCTCCATCTTTCATGTCCAAGGTTTGGTGCCGTGGGGTATCGTGCGCATCGGGAAAAAAGTTTTGATCGACCCCAAAGTACCCACGTCAGAGAGCAGTTGGTTCAAGTTCGCAGGGATTGTGTGCGCATCATTTGGTTTTCCAGCTGATACTTTTCGAAGAAGGAGGCAACAGCAACAGCAATTCTACCAAACCGAGCGAGCTAGCTCTACCCAGCATCTTTCTGGTACCAAGTTAGATGCCTTGGGTTATCGTGAGTGTGGAGCAAAAGGGTTACAACTACACGCTTTGACCGGTTCTTTCGCGGTACAATATGAAAGGCGCGTGCCTTCTTCTCCGTTACTAAGAAAAATGAATATCACGCCTCCGTATTCCGCCAGTCCCGTGCACAAAATTTTCTTCGTCCTACAAAGTGCGTGTATCCAAAGTTCCACTGACAAAGTTTGGAAGAAAAGCTGCAGAAACAATTTGCAGCTTTTCTTGCAACATTGTGCTGCCATGAAAAAGCGGGGTAAGTATTTCAAAAATTCTCACCAATCCTCAGGAGATTGATTAAGTATTTCAGAACTACGCACGCGTACTTGGGCATTTAGTTATTGTTGTTGTTGTTGTTGTTGTTGTTGTTGTCTTCACATTAAAAACCCGTTCCGGTCTCCACAATCCGTACGGCCAGGTTGCAGCTTTTCGCTGCGGAAAACAAGTTGCAGAACTTTTCGTGCAACTTTTAGCTCCCATACTGAGCGTACATTAGCAAAGCTGCAAGAAATGTTGCAGAAATGCAGCTTTTTTGCAGCATTGTGCTGCCATAAAAAGCGGTGTTACTGCTTGGATAGGTGCTAGATTGGCTTTGATGGATAAATCTAGGCTTGATATTGCTTGTATAGGTGCTAGGTTGGTCCTGACGTGGGTAGGTGTTAGGTTGGTAGGCCTTGGAGTAGGCCTCGGTCGCTCTTGGGTGAGAAACGGTGCTCGTGCAGGTCTGCACTGGCAGGACTTCCAAGTTGTGCGTGCATGCGTTTTCACCAAATATTTTTCAACCTTTTTTGTGGCCACGGGAATCGACCGCGTCAAGTGTTAGGCTAGTACGAACAGAAGGTACTGGGTAGAGAGATCGGAACGGCTTTCAATGTGAGTACAACAACAAGAAGAAGAACATCAAGAACAACAACAGAGCAGAGCTGCGATTTTTGCGATCAACCGTTATTGTCGGAAAAGGAAAAACACTGGCTTTGACTCGACAGACCACCAACTGGCGGTTGGTTCCCTTCGAACCACCACTCACGACAGACATCAACAGCGGCTTATGCCGTAGGATCGGGAGGGATGCACACCCACGCTTACCTCCTCTGTTTGGAGCAGCACCAAATCATCAGCACACAAAAAGCAAGTAGGCAACAACACTTGCGTACTTGTAAATGAGAGCATGCAGCAGCAGCGATACCATAACCTACTGCAACATTCCGTGCCCTTTCTTCCCCTTGAAAAGGGCTTCCTCTTCGCCTCACTTCACCAAATGCTCTCCACATAGTTTTCCAGACTCGCTGGTGGACAGGGGTTGTCGATTGGTGGATAGTGCATCCAAGATCAGCAGAGAGGCGACACACACGTCCAACATGTGATCCGTATCATCGCGATAAACAATGCGACACCTACGTGCAAACCACGCTCGAACACACGGGTGCACGGGTGCGGTGCAAACAAACGCGCGATTGGTGCCGCGCGCGCGCAACAACGCCTGCACAACGACCTCAAACCCAAATCCCAACCCGAAATTCCGGCTGGGATTTGGCCCTCCAAATCGCAGCGTGCAGTGCGATTCCGGGATAGGTGCGATTTGAAATCCCAGTTTTTCGGCGAAGAACATCACCATTAGGAGTGGCATGTCCTGTCGGCCTCGCTACAAGCCCAAGTCTCAGGAACTGCAGACCTTCCATAAGAATCGGTCTGACCAGGTATGCTATACCGCCTGTGAATTGACTGCTTTACTGCACAACAAACGAGGTCACTGGCGAGAATCCAACACAAAGCTAACGTGCGAGGTCTGTCTCTTAAGGTCTGGCCGGATTTTTAACCGCAGTACCACCCAAGGGATGCGTTACACACCCGTGGCCGACCCCTTAGCCAATCCCGAGCGCTAACACTAATCCGTACCCACGGCGAACGAACGGCCTGGCGGCCGAAAATTGGGCGAAAACACTGGGCCGCGTTCTCGAAATGCGGAACGTAGAGAGGGCGTCGGAGAGTATGAGACTGTTCCACCAATCAACCAGCGCAAAATCCTTAGATTGGAAGAGCCACTAAACAACACCTCCACTTGCTAGCCCCCGCCTCCGCCCCTTCCAGCTCAGTAACCCCAGGTGGGAGGCATGAGGGTTTCCGGCTCAACTAGCCTACGCGCACTAGTAATGTCTAGTATGTGATACCGTAAGAGTCGGAGAGTTGGCACCTGGTGCGATCGTTTTTTTTATTTTTTGTTTTTCCTCGCGTTTTTATCGCACCCCGGTGCCATCCCCGGTGTTTGCCATCGGGGTTGGGTTTTCGTCGCTTGGCAACGACGTTGTTAAACAAGCCAATTCACTTCGTGAACTCGGCAACCACGTTTCCGTTTTTGTTTTTACCTGTTTTTTTGGCGGCAACCATAATGGTGGTCGAGTAGATCATGTTGTGCGGGGTGGAGAACCCTCACTCCGCGCAAGGGGGATGATCGCACCACGTTGTGTTA